GCCTCACCGCACAGGCTCCATAGGAAATGAATGGAGAGCGAGCGACGTCGCCTCCCGTGTGTCGAGCCCTTAAATCATACAGGGCAGTGTGCCTTGGGTACCAGGTTTGAAAAACGAGCTAAACTGCAACACATCAAAACTATAAGTAATTTTAAAAATGATAAAAGGCAGCTGCACACCTTGTCAAATTGATAAGATCCAGATTTGATTCACGAATCAGTCTTCTGAAATGTGTGGACATGAACAAATGTGTCTAACCCTTTTCTGTTTTGTGCTTTTTGTTTCAGGCTGAAGAAATCGACGTATTAATAGGAAAGGACCGCGAGGGATTCTTCACCAACGGGCTGACCTTAGGCAGTAGAAAGTGCTCAGTAATCAGAGACAGCATCCCAGTAGACGGTGACTGGACAATGGACATGCGGACAAAGAGTCAATCGGGGGAGCCAACATACAATATTTGTTTAGGCAAAGCAGGCAAAGGTGAGCACGTTTTTATTTGTCTTGTTACTAAAATCTTAGTATAATGGCTTCGGTTACATGGTGGCCTGCTTTGATATAGTCCCTTTATTTGATCCATTATAGCTGTTGTGTTGTGACTGCATGTCGTACAGGTGTTAAATGCACCTTTCCTCAATATATGATAAGTTTTAAAGATGTGTAGGTGACTGTGTTCTGCTTTATATCACTCAGTTCTAAGAGGAAAACTAGTGTATTTCAGTAGTGTTGGGTGTGAAATGTACAAGTAATTTTAACAAAAGTATTTTGTCCCAAATTTCAACGTCAACAATTTAGTTACAGCTTTTACTGTTCAGTTGAGCTGCATCCTGAATATACACTGATCAAAAAAATAAAGGGAACACTTAAACAACGCACGCTAACTCCCAATCTTTGTTCTGTACAGAGTTGAATGTGCTTCACAAGTTTGATTTACTTGACTTGGCGTGCGTTGTTTAAGTGTTCCCTTTAGTTTTTGAGCAGTGTAGTTTGTTTTAGCACCCCACTTCTTTCAGAGCTGAATACCTACTGTTTTCCTTTACTCCAGGTGTTTAGCTAAACCAGTGTTTCCCAACCCTGGTCCTCAAAAGCACTCTTGTTTTTGTATTGTATATTTAGCATACCACCCCCCTTTTTTTTTTTTTTTTCCCCCCCCGCCCCCCCCCCCCCTTATTTTATTCAACAATTTTTCTTATGATCTGTACAGTCTTGCATACATAACACTCAACTCTTGTCATGCTCTGCCCGACCGTGTGTCTGAGTTACAATTTTAGAATTTATTCTTGATTTGATGTTTTATTGTTTCATTTTATCCTTCCGACATTTTTACATTGTTGATTGTACAGCACCTTGTGAATATATTTCTGTGAAAGGTGCTTTATTTACTTGCACTGTCCTGCATTTGTTTAGAAGTTTCCCTGCTGCAGATGATTGCAGTTAAACAAAAGCCTGTTAATCACTTGTCAATTGAAATCAGCTGTGTTGAAGCAGGGAAACATCTAAAGGGCTCGACACACGGGCAGCGACAAACTGCAGCGATTAACGGCTGTCATCGCAGCCTGGGTGAAACCCGACACACGGGATGCGATAGCGATCGCAGCGTTGCGAATCGCGCTCTTTCAGGTCGCTTGTCTTCACAAAATTTGATTGGTTCTCGACTCTGAAGGCGGGTGTGCTTTACGAACGTGTAAACTAAACAAACACACATCAAGATACAATTTTATGAGGAAAAACTTACCATAAACTTCACCCTGGTGCCAATAAAT